TTACGTTGAACATAAATACACATGGAATGTACTCTCTCTCCCTCTCTCTCTCTCTATATATATATATCCCCCACAGCATATTTTTCACAGTTACAGAAAATAAAACAAACAAACAAACCTGTTTTAACAACTCAAACACTATGAATGTCTTCATAACCATTTTTCTCTGAAGGAGTACTGGAGGGAGGGGAGTAAAAAGAATAACACAAAATGGTCCTCTTATTGTTCTGTCCATTTCTGCCTCTTAAAAACTGGCTCTCAGATTTTATTTGTGTGTAGTCATGCTCTGATACAGTTTCAGAAAGAAAGCGTGCAAGTTGTGAGGCAGCCTGCACTCAGGATCTAGTTTCAGCATCCTAGGAGCACTCAAAGAATCCACTCAAATGTCCATACTTCCACATCCTGTATTATGAAATCTTCTTTCTTAGATAAGATGTCATTATTGAAGGTGCTGCAGGAGTTGCTTCGCCCATGATATAAGTCAGCATCTAGCCATAATCCAAATCGACCACTAAAAAAAGAGAGGGGGTGATTTACTGGGTTTTGGTTTTTTTGTTTAAATTTCAAACTTATCTGCAACAGGTAAGACCACACTGTCTTAGAAACATAGAATACCCGTCTCACTAATTTCATAACTTGTGCAACCAGTCTATCAAAGAACAGATTAAAATAATACTGACAGTTTTGCGAACAGAAATCACACTGGGTGCTTCTACATAAGCAATTACTGTGTATGAATAAACTCCATAGCATATTACTCCAGAGTTTATTATTCCCCAAGCATGCTGTTTGAACGTGTGTCAAAGAGCAGTAAGCTCTGGTGCAATGAGCACCAGAATTTATTCATGTGCAGCACGTTAAGCCAGGTTGGAGCAGCCCTGGCTGGCAGAAAGCGTAGAGGGGGAGGGGTCATGCTGCAGAGGGGCTGAATGGGCCATGAGGGTGCTTCATTGTGGGGCTAGACAGCATGCAGCCTCTGCACTGAAGCACCCTTGTGCTCTATTCAGCCTGGCCAGTGTCTACATATGCACTGCTGTGGAATTTTTTTTACAAGTATTTACAAGTACTTTCCTGCCGGGGAATAAATTAGCTTACTCTGGCCTAATAAGGGCACACAGCATTTAATGTGCAGCTAAATAGTCAACTGTGCAGTGAACTTCTCGTATAGATGTACCCATTCCCTTCACTATTCTTGCGTAGGATTCCAGGGTTTAGTGGGGGGGGGGGGATTAAAAAAAAATTACCTTATGTCTCTTCTAGAGGAGTAGAAGCCAACCTTTTGGGCAGGCATGCCACAAATTAACCTCACACACTCCATGCATGCCACTCCAATCCCCTTCCTCTACCTGATCTGCTCCTTTGTTTTTTGATCCCTACCCAATCTCCCACTGTTCTGCCTGTCACTACCCCGACATCAATAGGAACTTTGTAACTGACCTTAACGATCCTAGAATTACAACTCGTATCTAAGTTCCATGTGCCAAACAACTTCCCCTGCCCCTATTCCACCCCCCACCATGTATATTTTCATATATGACTAACATGGATGCCAATTCAGGATTAGAGGGACAATGAAAATTGACATGAATCTGTTCATAGAGAGTCTGTCCTCAGCCGTTTAACAAAAGAATAAATCAAGTCATTGGACCAATGAGTATTCCAAACATATGTACTTCTATCAATATCAGGGTTGCCAAATGTAAGCAAGAAATCAGGTTAAAATGGCTGACAGTAAAGTCCATAAAAAAAAACTTTAGCTGTAAGTAAAAACACTAAGCAGTCACAGCTTGGTTGGAGCCCCAGCAGACAGCACACACCAGTGCTACCTTGTGTCCAAGCAAGGGCACAGAACCCTGTAGAGGGTGATCTCTCAGCCATGTGCTGCTGCATCAGAGGCTGCCTGTATTATTGTTGGGTCACAGTCAGGCTTCTTAGGGGGTCTGTGCCACGGCAGGGGGAACTAGGTCAGCAGGAGTAAAACTGGGAGGCAGGCCGGGAGGTGCAGAATGGTGCAGCATGCAGTTGAGAATCCTTTTTTACTTTTTTAACTATAGTTGATGTTAAACCCCTAAATTTCAACCAAGCCCTTCTGACTGGGGCCTGGTAGCAGGGCAAAGCCTGGCAGAAGAGTTACATGTACATTATGTAAAACATGTATCAGTAAAAAAAGGTTGGCTTTCAGTAAAAAGCTTGCAGATTATCAGTAAAAAAAAAAAAATATCTTCGACTGTCAACCCTGATCAGCATCCCTGCACTCCCAAACTGTAGCCAGCTATAATTGTAAAGCGAAAATATATACACTTACCCTCCTCCTCCAAGTTCTAGAGAGCTCATGTCTCCATTGATAAAGTAGGTATTTTCTCCACTCCACTTAAATATCTGAGAAAGCAGAACACATTTAATTGTTAGGATTCTACTAAGCTAATAAACTGAAAACAATGACTTGTGAATCATTCTAGGTCAGCGGAAGTAGAGGTATGGTTTATATCTTGCCACAGGAAAAGGCACAATCCCACTCTCAATTTTATTTGTGCGCTACTACTCCTTTCTTCTTGAGAGAGAATCTTGCAATATGTTCAGTATTTAAAACACAATACTGCATTTTCAGTTTGGAGCTGTCTCTGTTTCCCCATTTGTCTAGTTTCTGTGGTCTATGCAGCACATAAAATTTTAGACTACTCCTATGTTACCCACCCCCTCCCTGCCCTCAACCCCTTTCTCTGATTAAGTCTCCAGCAGATTATTCATTACACATCTTTTTCCACAATAAACTCTCCTCCCTTCACACTGGGGATGGATGATACGCATTCAGGTTCTATTAACAACAGCTAGTTCTGCTTACAGAATTGCAGTCTGATATCAGCTAAACAGAGTGTTTGGTGTTATATGCATTCACAAATAGCTGGTCCCATACATTCAAACTGCTGCTTTTATGAAGAGTTACATTTTTATCATAGTTTCTACAGATTCTCATGACAAACAACATTACAAGTGTTTCAGAAGTGGAGCTTAAAGCAACTCATTTCCTTCCCCAGTAAGTTACCTTGAAATTCGGACTAAAAGTGTACAAGAAAGTTTCGCCTGTGCCATAATAATGGTCACTGAACCTGAAGGGATGTGTTGCATATGCTCCAAATATCTGTCAAAATAAAATGTATGGGTTATACTCTAACAGTTTACAAAAAAAAATCAAGAGACATCTTTCACAACAGTTTCTGAAAAACAAACTGTGCTGATATTTCAAATAACCGAGGCCAAAATGCAGAAAACTTGGCTGATAAGGTATCAGGGTCTTCCATAAATATCCTTTAGCCAAGTAGCTCCAGATCAGTGGTGAAACTTTCTGGACTATGGGCTGGATTGGTAGCGTGGGCCCCAGCCTCCTCATGCTGGATCAAATGCGCTAGCCTATGCCCCGCATGTCACCGGTACACAGGGCTATGTTTTTTGGCCACAAGACTTGGAAATTTATCAGTGAGGGATCGGAGGCAGCATTAATTGCCATGCCTCCCCAGCTGCCAAATTTCCAGATCTGTGGGGAGTATCCATGGTACAACCCACAGGCTGGAAGTTGAGCACTACTGCTCTGGATAACTGCAAAGTATTGGGGTATTTCATGTAGTCACATTGGTCCCCAAGGATGCATTACTAGCTGTCTGCTATTTTGTAACTGAATTCTGATGTCTTAAATAGATACTTGTGAGAACAAACCTGTGGTCTCCCTGAAGAACAAAACTGGCAGGGTTTTGTCCCTGTTAGTACCTTATACTTGTCTGGATTTAAGGATTCTGTGCTAATTTAATAGTAGTAAACATAGGAGTAAAAAGATCTTGTCATTGATTCTTATTTTGCGGACTTAAATCAGCAAAACAGCAGCTTTCACCAATCTTACAGAAGATCAAACTGTAAATAAGAGGTTACCTACTTGCAATCAGGATGAGAAGTTTCTATGATGGGGTACCCCCAGACAACAAGATCTGAAAATAACCATGCCACACCCAAGTCCTAACCTGGTTATCCATGTCTTTGATGACAAGGAGGACTGGACTGTCAAGTGATGATGATTTACGGTACAATGTTTTCAGGCTGGTTCCATGCTCTAACGTACTATATACAAGCCGCCATGGATATCCTTGCACTCTTGCTGGCAGGCGCCGGGCAAGCTAGGAGGGGAAAGAAAAATGGCAAACCATTTAATTGTATAATATCTCTTTGTATTTTGAATCAACAGCAAGTAGTGCCGTGCAATAAGCACTGCCTGCCATCTAGACACTGGAGTTAGGTGTTCACAATGAACCCAGGATAAACAGATTATCCACTTTGGTTACAAATTTAAATTTGGTATCTTGCACCAGTGTGAACTCTAAATTTAAATAGTTTGAGTGTCAGTAGGGAAAATCTGATTAGAAAAAAAGAGAACAAACCAAAATTCCATTAGAAACTATACCTGCTCTATGTGCATATTCTCTAGGAGTGCACTGTGATGTTTTAGGATGGGTAAAGTCTCATCATCATCTTCCTCATAGTAACTGCAGGTGCTCTTTCGACGTTTTGCTTCTTCTACAGTAATAATCTGAGATAAGAGGGCACAATTGTTATATGATGTTTATTTCCTGTTTTGTTAATCTTATCTCTGGGAAGAGTTAATCATAAATGTGTCAGGACACAGGCTCCACAATTTACATGGAACAAAGTAACCTTATAAACCAGGTATATTCAACCAATGCAGAGTCACCCCAGTGCAAGAAGATCCTTAACTGACATGGTGTACCTGAGCTGCCTAAAATGCATGGCAGGACTTCCCTTTGCCCTGATTTTCCAGGTAGCTATGTTAGTGTCATCCCCCTGCTTGAATAACAAGACTGGATTGGAGAACAGGCCCCGCGCATGCTTTGTCCGGGATCAGGGGATGCAAAGGCCACATTCTCCTGACTTGAACAGCATATTAGATGGCAGTAGATGATTTTTAAAAATCAAGGACATGGAAGCTTCTTCATTTTCATTCCTGCAATTAGTTGAGTACAATGAATTTTTTCCCAGGTGCTACACTAATAACATTAGTATAAACAAATCTAAGTTTCACTTCTTGTTATTAAGAAGCCAGCAGCTACCCTTTCATGCTTCATTTACTAAGAAACAGACATTTTTATGTACACAACCGAAATAAAAGCAACATACAAAAGAACCAAAAAAGAAATTAAATCTAAGATAACACTTGGAAACGTAGCAAATGCTTTGAAGACCTGCATCATGCATGCAAGCTCTCTGAGAAATTGGATGCACAGTCAAATAGTTAATCCTTAATTCTTCCTCGTTTAAGTTAATTTCTTTAAAACAGCTGTTTTGGTAATGAAGCTGTCACTCATTTCACAAATTTCAGAAATTCACAAATTCCTTTCAAGAGCCTTAAAAAAGATTATCTATTTCATTTGAAAATGACCAGATTATTCTTTGGAATTAGGAGGAGGATCGAGATGCTGTTCGTTTTAAACTGAGCCTGATACAACACTCAAAGTGGATTAGCGTAAATGGCTCCTTAGATTTAGAATAAAATCTTTCCATTAACTAGAATTAAAATACTATGACTTCTCCCCCCCACAACTCCGCACAGAAGAACCACTTGGGAGAGAACAACTGCAGAGCCTCTGGTGTTACACAGGCTAAACTACCCTCCTTCTACAAACCTGTTATCTTTCCAGTTTTCATACTCTGGGATAATAGCCCCTATATTTGGCTGAAGAGTACCCAGTATAACCCAGACATGAACGCACACAATGGTAGCTTTACGTGCTTGACTGTCAATTCCCTCTATGTTTCCAAACTTGCAGAAACTGCCAGTGGCCAGAGCAGCCAAAAATTACCAGGAAGCCCTATGGATACACTAAGCCACTATGGATGGATTCTAAGCCACTGGAGGATCTCTCTGTGCTGGGATGATTTTTCTCATGGCCAACTTTACAGCAGATTTGTCCCCTTGGTGCGACTCAAAGTGGCTGCACTGCAGTGCAGAATCTTGTCTGGTATTTTTAAATCCATTTTAAGGGGTGTGAATTTCCTGCTTTTCCCTCTGTTCTATTACTACTTGTGGTCTTACTGAAACACTGATCCCCAACTGCCCTTGATTCCCACTCTCATTTTCTCCCATTTTTATTTTTAAAGTGTATAAATCTTTTTGAACTTCAGTCAAAAAACATTCCTCTATTCTTTCAAAGCTTTCAGTTATTTCAGGATTCCAAAAGAAAAATCACAGTGAAGTATTGAGCAACAGATACATGCATGATATGTAACCAAATTCAGAGGCAAGCAGCTACATGTATGCTCCTTCAAAACCCACTACAAAAAATCCATATCAATTAGAAATATACACAGGAAAGTTAACCTCATGCCTACCTACTAAAGGGCAGGAGACAGTGGAAAGAATCAGGTTCTGGACAATTTAAGATCTCATGGAGACATTTGCTCAATGAAGACACTCTTAATTCACCTCACCAAATGAAACCTCTTATTTGAATATTGTGCTCTACACAAACAATAGCAGTGAAGGGTTCAGCAGGATATTCTGCGAATTATCAACAGTTTCACCAGTCATTTGATACAGCAAACAGTCACTTAAAAACACCACCACCAACTTTTGAAATAGAATAAAAAATTTAAGTGCTGTCATTTGTATAAATGAGTGGAATCAAGCACACAATTCAGGAATGTCCTATTAAAAAATACATATTAAAAACCAATTTTCTTTCAGTAGTGCAAAGCTTACCCAGCATTCTCCCTGAATGATACAGTCCAACATACCTGCACAAAAGGTTCCTGGTCAGGTCTGGCACAGTAAAGAATCTGAATGTTCAAAGGCATTTGTCGCGCTCTCATTGTTAAAAGTTTATTCTGCTAGCTACCAAACTTCTCTGCTCTAATGCCAAAGCTTAATAATATGCCAAAGCTGTTTCCTTTATGTAAGATAGCCAGCTACTGTTTGTGACAGGATGCGATAATACTGCTTATATACGTCTCTTACCATCTCACTTTCTGTTTCCCCAGTAGAGGAATACTTTCCCTGACAGACAGCTATGCCCATATTAGGACTTTAGTCACGGAAGTTCTTGGCAGACACACCTCAAACATAAAACTCACACAGATTCACTTTGTAAACTGTTTCCAACTCTTCCCTTATTACCACTACAGCTCATTCAAAACGGATGTTAGAGTTAAAACAATGATAAGTTTCAATGTGTTGTTTTTCCCCTTCTATACTTTGCCTTTCCCCTACCCATCAGCTCTATTTGCATACCATGCACTCCAACTGAACTACACTGAAACTTAATAAAATTACAGGGCAAAGCATGCCCCCAGTTCTACACAAAGACAAACATGACAAACATTTCTGTTTGCAGCTCACACTGCACCAAAAGAAAGGAACTACAAAACCTGTCAAGCAAACTCCCATTTAAACTCTGGGATTACAAAGTGAAAATTAACAGTGGCAACGTAGCTCATCACTAAGGTGACAGAGTCAGCAGGCACGTCCATTAACTATGATGCCACTGTTACTGCACAGTAGCAACAAGCTACTGCACAATAGGGTCAGAAATGACCCATGCAGCTCTGGGACGGTGCAGTACCGGCAGTTACTGAATTGTCATTTAGTACTTGCTAAAGCAGTCAGCATACACGTAGACATGCCCAGAGTTTCCAGAGGATGATCCATTTCTCACTTTTCATCTCTCTCTAGCTTTTGAACACGGATGGGAATACTTAAAATAAAAGTTAGCAGTAGATTTTGTTTTGTTGTGTGTGTGTGGGGGGGGGGGGTTGCAGACTTTAACAAAATTCTGATTTAAGCTTTGCAGATCCATTTTAAAACAATTTGTACACCTTATGATCTGACCGCCCCACGTCCTCAGCATAGTTGGTATTCCAGAGCTCTAAATTTCATGCACACACAGGCATGTGGACATCCTTTTAATATCCTATTTCCCTGTGTTCTCATTGTCCATAGACATAGTGCTTTTTCAGTATATCTAGGTAGGTGGGGGTGCACATGCATGTGTGCCCAAAAAGCCGATCTGTCTTAGAAACAGTATGATATTGTATTCTAATACATGGGAAAGAAAAGGAAAGATGGAATATTGTGTGTATGGTGGCTATGGAGAGCCACAAAGCCTTGGAACTTTTTAATCTAAGGAGCAAAAATTATATAAATAAAAGTTTATACAAATATTAGAAGAATGGCAAGCACTTTGAGTTTCAATGGATGATTCACATTCTTCATTACATTCATGGTTCTCCACTCAGAAGACAAAAGAAATCTAACCTCCCAACTTTTAGTTGTTGGCTCACTGAAGAAGTTGTCTATCATATCAAGTTCCTCCTTTTCCACCACTACAAACCCTTGCTCTTTGGCATCTTTCCCATATACTTCTGGTGACCACTGAACAAAAAATGTATAAAGATGATCTACCCTGAAAGACAGAAGAGAGAAGACATGGAATTTAGGTTTCTTTAAACACAGGATTGCTATACAATATGCAAATTTATTTCAATGGCAAAAATGAACTATACAAAATATGTGCCTATGTACTTTCACACTGAAAGTACTATGTTACATATTTACAACTGCAGTGACTCTATTTAAATCAATGGTGTTACTCCACATTTACACTATGACTGAAGTCAGATTCTTGCCCTTAATTTCTTAAATTCCTGTCTGTTCAGGACTGGCAGATCAATCTCCAATTAGGATATAGCAGGACAGGTATTTTTCACAAAAAATATGAATCTACAAAAAAAGGATGTCAATTAGCTGGCTGTAATTGCCATCTGAGATCTCAGACAGATCTTGGGGCTTTGACTCACTTTGGTCCCAGTTGCAGCTGCAGCTTTTCTCATCCCCAGAGAAAGAGAGAGTTTGGTTACTACATCACAGAGACTTCCTTTCCCTTACCCACAGAGACGGAACAAATTAATTCTTCTCAACAGTCCCCTTTCCCCCCCTGTTGGCATTCACAAATGTTTCTCTGCAGTGCACAAACCCTTGACCCACATGGGAGACTCTTGCTTCTCTGAATTTAAGCGTTCACATTTAAGATAAAAGATTACTACTACACAGTTGCAAACAAGGGGCATCTGAAATGCAAACCTAAGTCCAAATATGCTCTCCAGAGATTGTGAATGGCATGGAATAATAAACTGCCTCTGTTCATTAGATGGGGGAGGATGGGAGTCAATGAAAAAGCATAATGGCTACAGAAACGTTACATTACTATTTGACCACTCCTTGTAGCAGAAACATCCAGCTAATGTGTTTATCCAACAGTTGGAAAGCCAAGAAGCTAACAATACAAAATGAAATCTAAAGCAGTGGTTTTCAACCTTTTTTCATTTGTGGACTCCTACAAAATTTTCAATGGAGGTATGGACCCTTTGGAAATTTCAAACACAGGTGCGGACCCCTTTGAATTGTAAGTGTGGGTATTCATATACTTTTGATTGATCATAGTCATGTTTCGCAGGCCCCTTCAACACTGGACCCTCAGGGGTCTGCAGAACACAGATTAAAAACAACTAGTCTAAAGCATGCAACCCTTCAGCTTCAATGTCATGTTGAAGTAGCAAAGTATTAGCATTGCATGTTTGAGTGCAATCACTAACAGAACTGGCATATATGTAAAATACTAAGCAACGAAGGGAGCATTGGTCTGCTATGCTGTATGAGACAGAATCCTTCCTTCTAGTTGGAAGATTCTTCTCCCCCTCTTCCCACCCACTGGCTTTTGCAGAACATTTTCCCAGTATTCCTCACAAATGCTCCACAAGTAGCAACTTGACAACAATCCCTTTGCTGAGTGAATCTGTTATTTCAGGGTCATTCAATGTCTTGGTGGTTGGGGGGCCATGCAAGTCTCAGGCTGCTTGCTATGCAGGCAGCTTCACCCCATCCTGGCCACGTACACTGCATGAGAAGACCCCCCCCCCCATCCTGTGTGCAGTGCAGGCAGCACATCTTCCTTCCTTGCTGTGCACCCAGTGTAATTAAGCTGGTACCCTCTCTCTTTACATGCACAGCATAGGCAGCCCAGCTCCTCCCCACCAAGCATAGTGAGAGTAGTTCAGCCTCTTCTTCCCCCACCACGCACGCAACACAGACATCCTGGCCCCCTCTTCTTGTACCACCCTGCCCTCAGAAGTAGGAGCAGAAGGCAGAAGCCAGAGAGGGAGGGGGAGCTCAGACACCCCAGCTACCAGTGCAGCAAAAGCAATGAGAATGGAGCTTGAATACCACATGCTAGTCCCTTATGGACCACCAGCTGGACAGCCCTTGATTATTTGATCGATTTGAACAGTTCTGAACAAATGTTCAAGGTGTTGGTCACATTACTTTTCAAGTTTGCCTGAAGAAAATGTGGCCACAACTGAGCTGGAAAAGTCTGAAATGCAACTGTGTCCTTTAAACAGTTTGGAAAACTAAGTACATTTCTACAAATTCCTGTGAAGGGGCTGATATCCAAGCTACTTTTTATGTCAGCCTGTATTTGTGGGGGGAAATTGCTGCCCTAATTATCCCCATTAACCTACGATGAAATTAAATAAAAGCCAAAACCTAAATATTTGGGTTTCCAAATGGGATTCTATAACACATGTACAGTATATTACAACCTCAAAAATAAGGTTAGGAGAGGATGGCTAGCACTCAGAGAAGTAGCACTAGACTTCCTTCAAGTAGACCATTTGCTTATCTTCTTATTGTCCATGCACTGAAAAAAACCTGTTTACTTATGGGGGGAAAAAAAAACACACACAAATGCACACGCACCTGTGTGGTTAATATCGATTAAAAAACCACAGATATTTTGCGCAGGTTAGGTGTAAGCCTAATACCCAGAATAAGGAATGTAATTTTCAGTGAAGGAAATTTTTTGCACAACTCTCATTAAAAGAGAGAGAATTTTTAAAGCTGCTTTTTCATATATTCCTATAATTATTCCCTGTATTCCTATTATTACTATCCCTATTATTTCCTACTATTTTGCCTAAACCAATTCATCCCCAGGCTTCACAAAGCAAGGTCTTTGTACCATTGTCATTGCAAGAAAAGGAAGGTCAGTTCAAAAGGTAAGTGTAGGCATGAATTGATATCTCTATGGTGATGGAAAATGGAAATATTTTGAAAGGAGATACAGTGAATCACTTCTACTTCAGTGCAATGTCAACTATTTTAAAAACAGGAATTCTCAGTTACTCTATTTACTCTTTAAAATTATGGATGACAATCCCTGATTTCAAAAGAATGTTGTATGGGGGAATTCTATATTAGAACCAGCTTCCAATAAGAGAACTTGTCACAGAACTAAAAGTTAGCAGTTGCTTGAATGATCTTTTCATGTCTGCTATGTGCAAACAAAAAGTCCAAACCAGTCATACACACAATGAAAAAAAAGAGGAAGTTACTTGTGATGAATATAAAATAGAAACTAGAAAATTTAAGAAAATTGGTAACAGAAGAAGGATAAAAGCAAAAACTATGGGCTCCTACACATGCAGGGAGGCTGCTCCAATTGATTAATCGAATCACATGTATCGGCATCCCCATGCTGAAAAATGGTGGTGGGGTGCTTTAAGCCAAAGCTCATTCGACAAGCTTTAGTTCAAAGCACCCTGCCACCATTTTTCAGTGCAGGAATGCTGATACATGTGATGTTCCGGGGGCTTTTAATTAGCACAGCTCCCAGAGCTGTGCTAACTCTCCTACCTTCCCCCGCCCAACACCACCACCCCCACATCCCAGAGCACATCTATAAATGCCCTATAGTATTAAAAGCAATGAAATACCATTTTTAAGTACACTGAGAAAAATACGTACCCTAACAGTACTAGTTTATCAACGGATAAGAATGGTATAATTTCTAATAATCAGGCCCCAAAAAGCAAATATACAAATGGAAGGGGAAAACACCAAATGAGGGAAAAGCCAGACAAAGTATTCCTATCCTATGATGATGAAATACTTCCCATTTCAACAATAACTAAAATGATGACAAATAGCACCTACTAAAGTCAACTTTTTAAATTATGCTGGTCCAGGAAATTTATAAGAGTTTTAAAAGAGCTGGTTCAGGCTCTCTCTAAATAGTTTATGTTTTTCCAGGAGTTAAAAAGGATGAACAGGATGAAACAGAGAACTATGTGTCTGTCAGCATGATTTTGATTCTGAGCAAAAAGAACAAAATGGAATGCTGAAACTGCATTTGATATCTTTTAGCAGACTAAAATAATATAAAATCAACAAAACGCACATCAAAATTAGCCAATAGTTCTCAAGGTATAATTGTAAATGAAGAATAATGATTGAATGAACGTGTCCTTAAAGTGTTCTTCGGGACCAGTTCTTGGTCCTATTTAATATTGTTAAACAGTGACTTGAAAGTCACAGAATTCTTTGGATCTAAACTAGAATTTTTATTCTGTAGGAATTTAAACATTTTGAAAAAGATCACCAAATCAGAAAGAAAAAAAAACTGTATTTCTGATACAGGATCAGTTTGTGTCCATCAAAGCATCCAAATTTAATTCAAACTTTTACATTTTTTAAAAAATATACATTTATACTATTTTTATGCAGCTGACTTTGAAATTCCCAAGTGGCATTTCAATTGGAGACTGGATCTCTCTGGTGCTGCTTGGACACCTTCTGAAATGCTGAATTGAACCCTGACGGCCAGTCAACAACAATGTTCAAATATTGAAAAGGGTTCAGAAAAGAGCCACAAGAATCATTCACTGATTTGAAAACATGCCTTGGATTACGATCCTTAAGTGTGTCACTATCCCTAGCTTATTAAATAGACAGTTAAGAGATGATTTCATCACTATCTATTACTGCACGAAGAACATCTGCCTTCAGGAAATGCCTTCGGAAAATAAGGAGCTCTTCTACCTACCGAACAAAGATATAACAAGATTCAATGGCTGGAGGCTGAAAAAAAAAATACAGACAAATCCTGCTAAAAATAGAGGGTGACTTTTCAACATTGTAGGAAAAGTGAATTACCGGAACAATTTACTAAGGGTTGTGGGCGAATTTGTCGGCACTGGAAACTTTTTCATAAGAACTAAACCTTTTTATAAACAACATAATCTATTATTACTGCACCTACTGGATGCAAACCAACAGTTCTCGGAAGTTGTGTTGTATGCTGTAAAGGAAATCAGACTAGATTCCAGAAATATATGAATGCATAGCTGAAGAGTTTACTAAAGTGAAGATACAAGACTCTTAAAACATGCTGCAAACCTATATGTATCTACATGAAAATATGCACATGTAGGGTTGCAGTGTCCTATGAACTGGTATCTTATTATCTGTGCTGGGATCACTCAAGATGAGTCCAACTCCTAACTTTATGCCATACCCTACCTGTACTAAGGAGAAGGTATGTGTGAAAGTGGGTATTTCAGATGACCC